CCCCCCCAGAAAAGTTTGCAAAATTGAAGCATTTTTGGTGTGTTTTCCAAGAGTTTCAGCTGATAAATTTAATATATCGATTGGGCTTGAATGATAATATCAAGAAATTAAAACTGCAGTATAAAGGTGGCTGCCAAGTTGCAATTTCAGGTGGGTACAGTTTGTAAGCCCGATAGTACAATTCACTCTGCAGGATTTTTTTTCTCCACTTCTTCTTTGCACGATTTTTTCTTTCAGTTACCCTCCCTTGCATGAATTTTTTTTTATTTCCCTCCCATCACTTTTTTAATGGTCCGTCCGTAAGCGAATAATTTCCTTTTCCCCACACACCAGGGGAAGACGCTCTCACTCTTCCAGGTGAGAGGGGCTTGGCACTAGCTGGATTCAAGATGGCGGTAAGTTTAGTCTTTCTACGTCCCTTCGTAATTTTTGACATTTTTCGTGGAATATTTTGCCCGTATTTATGATCTTTACCAGTTATTTTTGAAACAATTCAAGACTTAGGAACAATTTAATTCTGGAAATTCATTTTTTGCCAGGTATCCTGTCCGTTTGTCTTCAAGCTTAATCGAGGCTTTTTTTCCTCTTTTTATTAAGCTTACGTGTTCTTTTGGTTGTTTTTGTTTATGCTTTGTGATCGACTTGTTTTATCACCATTTATAACGTCCAATGCTCTTTTAAAGAATCTGGCGTTAGGGGGTCAACTTTTCGAATACAATACTTATAAATACACCTGCAACTCCCTTACCAGGTTAGATATATAGGTAACTTTTGGCTGAATGGTGGATTGCATTTAATAAGCTCTTTTCTGAAACTGAGTATTTGCTGATCAAACGAATGTTTCTCCTCAGTTAAACCCATCCAATCCATAGCTTGAAATATTTAAATTTATATTTCTCCTTGTTCCATACATTTCTTTTAAATATGTTTGTGGCTATGAGCCAGGGTGTATTCTGCAAACCCTCCATGGTGAAGATACGCCAAGGAAGTTTAAATTCTGTGCCACGCACCTGGCAAGCGGCCAAAGTCCCATGTCAAAAATGCTATTTTAATATGCCATCCCAATGCGGCTGGGAACATTTGGCTCAAATGGATCCTATACAATGCCTGTTATCAGCCAGGATGTGGGGGATAAAGATAAGTTAAGAAGCCATAGTTATCATGCCAAGTTGCCTTGGGTAGTTAAGCGTTTATAAGCAAGCATCAGCAAATATTATGTGCACGTTGCTATATGTTAGAAACTCTGATCGCACGCCGGTACACAGCATTAAATTTAAAGGCCACACCCAAGATCTTCGGCATAACCTACCCTGAATGTACCCTGGTCCATAGGGTTCTTTTCAATATGTTTATGAGTATGAGAATTTGGTGATACGTCATAAGTTGATAAAATACTTATCCTTGTCATTCTTATTGCCTGTCTTGAAGTGTTTGTTTTGATTTTGTTTGGAGAAACTAGTTGTTGACCCTGAAAAAGTTATGAAGATGACTGCTTTTCCCCAGGGGTAACTCCTGTATAGAAAGCACAGGGGTGCTTGTTGTACCTTTCAGGGATTAGAAAAGCAGTTTTGGTACCTCATAGGGTGTTCAGCCCCAAGAGGTCCACAGCGGGAGCTTTTGCATCACCATTCAGGGCACTGAGCTTAAAAAAGCATGGCAGGAGATAATGTGTTGTTTTACAATTAGTACCTCTCAGGGATGAAAACATTTCAAGACACTCCTAGAAAGCAGGATCTTGGCACCTCTTAGAGGTTTTCCGACGAGCATACCCCGTCCTTTTTATATGGGAATCCACCCTGGGCATTTTCACATAAACTGTTTATTTGCTCTTTTATATTTAACAACAAAACAACAGCTTCAAAAGACAAAACAGCAGCTGTAATTTAGATCCAGCTACAGGCCCCAGGGTCAATACTATACTTACCAACTTTTTCTGTATCAGATTCTTGAGAATTTTTTTTCAGAGAATATCATTGGTAGTGTCCTTTTTCTAACTTGGATCAAGTTTAGATATACAGAGGACCTCCAAGGCAAACAAAAACTGGTTTGAAAAATCGGGTAGTAAGAGAAATCCGGTGTAAAATGACAGTATTTGGCTGAGGGGAGGGAAATGACATTTGGTTCAAGTTATCTGAAGCTGAAGGTTCAGAAAATCGAGTGTTTGAGAAATTTGGACTCCACTGTATCTGAAAAGTGATTTGTCTGAATTTTGCAAGCTGAAATCTTTTGTGACCCAGATTTGAAAAATTTTTGTGTTTTCCTGAGAACAAAGTCATTGATAACCCCAGGTAAAATCAAGTGTACACAGTAACATATCTTGTTGTGATGAAATTCAAAGTAATGTAAAGAGCCTCTTCAGAACTCAAGGCATTTATTTCTGAGCCAAGAGAAGGGGCATTACTCTAGAGGGTACCTACATGTATTGTTTAATGATCTGAATAATATTAAGTATTACAAAATTATTGACTTCACACCTTGCCTTGTAGCCTAAAAAACAAGCAACCAAGGGGCAAAAACAAATTCTTGAAGAAAACAACAAAACTCTGGATTTTTATGCCAAGGTCATGATAAGTATTGAGGTAAGACAGTAAATAAAATGTTGGCAGAACTGTTATCAATGTCTAAATTTATAGGGCAAGTTAGGAGAATTTGATTAGAGGTAAATTCAATTTGCCCTCTTTTGCATACTCTTCGTGAAAGAAGCTTGTGAAATCCTTACCTTTTTACATACCTCAGCCTGAAAAAGGTATCCCCGAGCCTCTCCATTATAGAGTCCATTTTAGGGAGTATCCCCCGCCCCCTTGGTGCTGGAGGTAACCTTTTACGGACAGGCTTCAAGTCATAGAGGCCAGCATAATGTTCCGCAGTGTGTGACTGCTTTCTGGCCACTGTAAACTTTAATATTACCTTTCCCTCTGCTTCTGCAAGCAGATTCTACCTTGCCTATCATGAGCATCTTTTCATCAAGTTTTTATATTGTTAAAAAGAGGTCAACTTAATCAAGGATGCAATGATTTAACAACATGTTTGTTATGCCAACTTTGTTATCTTTTTTTTGCAATGATCAATTAAAATACATTGATTGATTGATGTAATTTATCCTCACTTCAGGTGACATACATTATCTTCAGATTCACTTTTTTCAATTTCAATTCAAGTTGGTTTTCATGGGTAAGTTCGTACCTGAGAATAATTTATTTGTTTAACTCACTTCATTTGTGCTTGAACTTATTAATATCATTTATGTGACAATGGAATGGACTTGATATTTAATTAATTTTATTAGTTCCAGCTGTGAAAATGATATAGTTAAAAATAATCTTGTCCAACATCTTTGCCAGGTCCTGTTGCTAATTGTCACAGCACTTTATAGTGGATTATACAAGTTTATGGAATCAATGGCAAAGCCTACATATTCTGAATCTGGAGCGCTTATAGATGGTGGAATGGATCTTAATTCAGAATCAGGGACTGCAGAGTATGTGATAGTAAATAGAACACTGTTAGGATAATTTGATAATTTATAATAGACCTGTCAATTTAGTATTTTTGTCACATTTGTCAAGTAATAAATCAAACTTGAGATAGTAATTTACCACATTTCCAAACATTGGGAAGAGAGGTAAATATTTAATGCACAGTGGAGTATTTTTGAGGTACTAATAGAGGTGTTTTGAAATGTAAAAAACAATCTTTCTTGATTGTTTAAAATGTCTCCTGAAATGATCATAAAAGTAAGGACAAAACAGAAGCAAAATCGTTTCAAGTAATGATTTCCTTTGTTAAACTTGATGCAGGAACTGTGGACCCTTATTTGTTAAGTTTTGTTTTAGAGATTTCCTGGTGGTTTTTTAGGAGACGGTTGGGGCTGGGGGGGGGGGGGGGGGGGGGGGCCTTATGTCACCAAAACCATTCAGTTTTGGCTCCTGTAAGTTGACAAGACGGGTCTGTTATTAATCAATCTTCATTTGTCCTTTTTGCTCCATGCAACACGTAGGTTCTCCAGCTGTATTAAACTAAAACCCAAACAACTGGCCAATCATCTTACTGAATCATATTGATCATCTTTATTTAATCAATCTCTCTTTTAGAAATTAAACAGTGTCAATCAAAACTCACAGCTTAACCTTACAACTTGTCCTTGAATGCATCAGAAAAAATGTAATCCAACTCTTGATTAGTTTTTCATTTCATGCAGGATTTGTTGAGCAAAAGGGTAGACAGTAACATTGTGTTCCCCTTGAACATGTTGCAAAAAATATATATTTTTTAAATTACAGTCCCCTTCGTCCACTTCTATTTCTCGACTAGTCCGCCTGCTAGTAACTAATGGGCTAACTAACGCTCAATTACCAGCAGTCGTGAAGAAACTGGATCTGAGAGATTGGCAGAAATCGAGACTACATGTAGCTAGGCGGGTGGGGGAAGTGGAGGGATGTATTCCCCAAAGCTTTTTGGCAGGGATGTGCTAGTAACTGCTGAATATACATGCAGTCCTGGAGGCCTTAGTGGTCTCTGGTGAAGTCGTCTTTGTCTGGCTATAATGGGCATCAATTTTGTTATATGATTTGGATATGTAGGGTTGTCTGATCTTTTGTTTTGTTTTATTGCAGACATGTTAAGGACCTTATTATTCTAACAGTGATAACTCAAGGCCTTGCTATATTCACAGACTGGATGTGGCTTCTTATGTTTCTGGTGAGTGCATTGCTGATCGTCGAACGTCTGGTTATTTGATTTTCTGTCATTTCTTTCTCTTTGAATGCATCCAGACACGTTCATCCCAACAATGACTAACATCTTGCTTCCATTCAAAACATTGGCACAAATCTTGGGACAGGGGACAGGGATTTCATTAACTTGGGCCAGTCACCGGGCAAACTGACCGGCTGTGAGGACGATTTTGCCCGCCTGGTTTGACAATCTAGAAGAAAGTGTTTCATATATTATGATTTTCAGTTCAAAACGTTTTGCTGGCCTGTGAAGATCAGTTACCCTCCTGCTGAAAACGTTAATGAAACGCCTGTATAGGTCAGGAGAATTGAAATTATGCCCCCCCCCCTCGTTGTCTCCTGGGTTTTGCTTTAATATAAATCTGCCTTTTCTATTCATAATTTTATGTTTGATAAAACTTAATGGTCTTTTCGGAGGAGGGAGGCAGGTGCCTCATACAAAACGTTTTGATCGTAGCTCTCAAACGTTCTGAAAATATTGTTCATACTTGTCAAACCTGACCTGTAAAGTCTGTACCTTCCTTGTTTTGTTTCATCTTTTCTTCTGAAAAAGCTAGTGAATATTGGGTTGCAAAGAAACTCGTGAAGTGGCGAAAGAAGACAACGCAGTTTCTCCTACCATTCCTTTTTCGCTGCGTGACTCCTAGCTTAATTTCTTTCCTTGTTTTTAGAGGACGGAAGACTCTGACACTAGGGTTGTAGGTTACAAGCTAAGTAATGCGGTAGCATATTTCAAAAAAAAAAATGATGACCGTATTTACCGTGGAAGACGAATATTAAAATACGTCTAAAATGAATGCTTTAGTAATCAATTAAAAATAATGATATATAATGTATTTCATAGGTGAATTCCGGCACACTCGTTTTGTTTCTTTATCTTTCACTACAAAAATTTCTGGAAATTTTGGTTGTTTTCGTAAATCGAAAGAGCTATTTTGATTTGCCGACAGATTATTTCCGGCAAGAAATGTCTCATGTGAGTGTTGTTTAAAAAAAAAAAATTGAAACGAGGAAACATTGTTCAAAAATCTGCTGGATCATTATTTCCCAAAACTGTTTCCTTGGGAGCAAGTGAGGAAACATTTGTAGCGGAAGTAAAACGTTTCTTGGAAAGATATTAAAAGGCATTTTGGCTACCGCAAAACACGGTAGCAATGTTTCAGTAACACGTGATCTTCGTAGTACGAAGCTCTCGGACTAAATCGAATTTGATTTCACCAGCCAATATAACAGACATAACCTGGCTCGTTCCGCGAGCGCATAAGATGAACCAAATCCCGCATTATCGTGCACCATGATTGGATACCCAAGGCGGCGAGATAGAGTTATGTTACTAGCTCTGGATTACCTGCTGTTTCCCGCAAGAAAATAGTGTTCTTTATGCCATATAATAAATCCTTTTATTATTGACCTTTAAATGCAACTACACGCGTATGTATCACCACTTTTGGCGCGTTTATTTGATTGTAACAACCATTCAGAAGTAGTCTTGCGAGAAGTTTGTGGTAAACCCTACACGCTTGGAACGCTGATTCAAGTGAAACCCACAACCAATCGCAAACAGTCCTCCGAGCGCTTCGTGCTTCATGCGTCACGCTTAGAACGCCTCTTCTGATTGGTTTATTTGAGTTGAACTACCGATGACAGTCATCCTTGAGCTTCGTGACTGTACAATCAGCAGATCTGAGCGAAACAAGCAATAGCACGCTTTTTGAAACTTGTACGCTGCACTCACTCGAAGAGACTTTGTTTATGTCCCTTGCAAGTAGAAATCGCTAGTAACACCTTTAGAAATTCGATGGAAAGGGCTCATCGAATTCTTTGTTTATATTGCGACTGATATCTGATTGGTCCATTAGCCAGCCAATAACAAGCAAACTTCCATTCTTCCTGCTTGTAGCTAGAAACGGATCTTGTGATTGCGTGAAATCCACGAGTAAGTTTCACTTGATGCGTTTTCATATCTTACGGATTTGTTTGCACTGGCGAGGATTACCAGATCATGTCTACTGAACAACTGTCAAGCTAGATTTTGACTAGAGAATTTCTTACGAAAAAACTTATCAAGTCGCGAAACGTGCGCTTTTGAATAGTATTTTTTTCATTATGTTAAGAAACGGTGGCTAATTTGCATGCTATTATTTTAGTTCAATAGCCCATTTCCGAGTTGCCTTAAGCCTCTCTATCAAAGGGAGGCCTGGTGCACAACTCTTCATCTGAAAATGAGTTTAATTTGCATGCGAATGAAATCGCATTTTCATATGAGAGCATGGACACCAAGACTCGCTTTGAGAAAGATGCTAAAGGTAATTCGGAAATAGCCTAAAGATTTAGTTTTAAAAAATACTCATTTTTTTCTCTGGGATTAATTTCAGGCACCCTGCAGGGCTATATACTTGTTATGGGTGTATATTCTAGCCCCGTGGATATTTGCCCAACCTGACGAGACAGAAGTGGACCCAAAGAAACAGAAGAAAATGGAAAGAAAAATGAAAAGAGCTGGAATGATGTAAGCTATGAAGAGACGTGATGGTCAGATAAACAGTACTTCTTCAAAAGAAACACGCCGCACTGATTTGAAGCACGGAATATTTTTTTTATTTGTGCGCTTCGTACTTTCATCTTTGTAAACTGCTCCAAGACTGAAGTGGCTCTTTCAATTGGGCAAGAACATATCACGTAACCTGCCCAGCAATGTCCCCGGGGAACTACCCTCAGTAGACACCTCGAACGCGGCCGCGCCATGCGCCTTGACATTGCGGAAAATTTTGTGGGTGTGTCGCGTCGACTGGAATGATGCTCATGGATTTCTGCAAAGCGGAATTATTTTGCCTTTTTTCAGTCGTGAGGTATAAGAAAATACCTATTCACTGGATCTCCAGGCAACATTAAATGTCAGTTACCTTCGAAGCTCGTCATTGGTACTTAGTGATAACGACTTATTTGATACGTGGGAAGAAAAAGTACTCGTGGGTAGCTTTAAAGAGTGCGATTTGTTTTATAGATGCCTTGAGCGGAGTTATTTAGTATGTAAATGTTTTCTGGCGTCTCACTTAGAATATAGTCCGTCATTTGATATTTTTAATATTTATGTCAGAAACACAAGGTCTAGAACTGCAAAGAACTCCTGCTCTCAACATGTCCTTTCTAGTTAACTCGGCGTCGTTCGTTCAGGTGGGAGAATGTTTACCCATTTGAAATTGTAGTGAGAAACCCACGCACACAGTTGGAAACTCCTGATCGTGAATTCCCGCACGCCGTTTCTTTGCAACAGGTGAAAATCAACAGGTGAAGTAACAATTTAAGATCTGACCAAAGTGAAACAGGCGTTGAAAACAAGTCACCTGGCCTCTTTCGTAGGCTTCTTAAAAGTGCATATACCATTAAGTCCAGACTGCACTACGTCGGAGAAATTTGAAAACAAAACAATCAACCGGTCATTTTGGGTTTGTGCTTGAAGAAAATAAAGCTTCGTTTTCAAAATGGTTTCCCTCCATACTAAAACGTACAGCAGACGTTTTCAAATTTCTTCGGTTGGAAGAGCGTTTTCGAAGAGCACCGTTTTGGAGACGGATTAGTGTGGACGGAAGGCCTAACCGGAGAGGTAAAGCTGCGTTTTCAAAATTCTCCGTTGAAGTGTGGACGGGACCCGACTTGACGTTTTCTTAGAGAACTTCCTCTTACACTTCTGACGACTGAAATAAACAAAATGCTGTTTAATTTGTAGTGAGCTTGGAAAGTCTTCCTTTTCTTCATCAACAGCTGTTGCTGAGAAACGAAACCAGCGTGGTGTACATGTCTTCCTCAAGCGTTGCTTGGCAATACTCACTATTTATGTTCAAGGAACAATGCAACGAAAACGGTCATATTTCGCTTTCGACCACGCAAAAACCAAAAGGGAAGAGCAAAGCGAGTACTGTCAACAGGAAACTGGATGTCAGCTGAAAAGGAATTCTATTTGAGCTTTTTTTTTATCGAGCAACGAGAATACGAGGAAAAATATCGCGAAAACTGTACTTTATATCTCGCAGTTGGTTTTAACGCCTTGATCGCTTCCAATGCTCAATGATCCAGACACAGAAAAAAGCTGATAGATTCTTCCCAGTACAAAATAAGTATTATTTCCCCCTGTTTCTCTGAACACGTACGTCAGCTTCGTTAGAACTGTGACGGCATAGCATGTGTCAGCATTCAAAGTGAAAGTGAAAGTGGGTGTCAACTGGGTGGGTGTCTCGCCCGCAACCAACGCTTGTTCCTAGATCCCTCGTGCGAAGATGGCCACCGGCTCTAACGTTTACTTAGACTGTTAGAAACAAAACGCTCTTTTTCTCGCATTTGCAATTTCAATCAATTATTTGAATAATTTTTTAAATAGCCATGGTTAATTTTGATCATGTCAGACTGTCGCTTCTGAAAATGAAGTAGAATTAAAGAATCAGCCACTGTTTTTTGTCGTTCTTTATTTACAATAATTCTCTACGAGAAAGCAATTTTTTTATTATAATTTCATAATTATTATAGCCAACATCAGCAGGAATGCAAGCTTGAACTAAAATAAATATTTTATCTTAAAACAGATGGCGCATATTTCTTCGCGAGTTTAAAATCAAACTTTGTCTACTTCTCCATGGCTATCCATGTACAGACAAATCTTTGAGATTTTTCATTCAGTTTTTTCGCTTTTTTTCGTCTACAAGATCGTTCCTTTTTTCAGAATCCTTGACGACAGTTCAAACTTGATTTATCGGTTCGTCTGATCCTGGCGTATCGTTGATAATAACACTTATCTGAGGCAAAGTTCGTTCGTGTCGCGAGACCGCGATATTGGACACTTCGTCACTGTTCATATTGACGTTCGACACGGGCGAAGATAGTCGGAAATTCGCGTCGGTCGGGATAATAACAGGCAGGGTTGTACGAGTCAGCGTTTGAGCGACAGAGCTGATATTGTTCAGTTCCATACTGTTTAAATTACTGTCGCTGTTCGCCCTGGGCCTACTGTAGTAATAAGAAAGGCGCCTCGCTAACAATCGCTTTTTCAAGCTCTCGAAAGAGGTCTTCACGTGCCATCCATTGATCATGGAGAAGAACACGATGTTCATGAAGAAGAATCCGAGAGGAACGTACTCTAATGACAACGGACTGTGACTCGAAAGAGTTATCACCAGCAACACCGTCGGACAGATCGCTCTCAGAAGGATGGTCACTAGCAGTCGCAGCGTAGATACACAGAGGAAGAACCAGCTGTTTTTGTTCACGCCAAGCAAGCGAAGCAAAGAGTTTAAGTCGAAAACAAGAACACTTCCTTCGAAGAGCAGCCCGATGACTCCAGAGATGGAGTTTTGTCTGTACACTATTAACACCCCGTAAGCTGTCGCCGTTACAAAATGATGTAGAAGGTTGATCTTGTACAGTGGATGCTCCTTTCTTAGCAAGAAGTCCTGGAAAAATTTGTACACGTAGTTGCCGAGATAGACAGAGAAGATGACCAGGAAAGTTGTGGGTGTGTTTCGAAGTGGCTTGGCAAAGGTGTCTTTTAAAGAAGTTAAGTACAATCCACAGGAAAAGAGAAGGATGGAGAAAACGTGGTCTCTAAACCTGCAGAAAAGAAGAGCAAAATATATTTTTTGTCATTTCATTGAAAAGATTAATACATGAACCTGTGTTGTAATTAAGCCATAAACTATTTTTTCTATGCGTTTACCAGCGCAATAGAGCAACGCGGGATGTTGGGAGACACGAGAAAAGTTTGAAAATAACGACCAATCAGAGCGCGCGCAGTATCTCAGTTATTTTATCTAAACACAAACGAAAAGTGAAATAATGGGGACAAGGAAGTTAGGTCAACGGGTTCCAATATTCGTCTTTTTATCTGACGCGCTCCGTATTCGTCTTTAAAGCATAATTTAATTTTCTTTGAGTAATATATAAACTCAGACTGAACTAGTTCTCCTGTTGTGCTATTGGGCAAGAGGTAAAATTCCCACGGTACGTGATGTACTCCATTGGAGCGGCAATTATCTCAGTCGCTTCAGGCTGTAGTAACCACTTTTGTGGGTGACCCCGTTTGAGCAACACTGAATCTTCTATTTAATTAATGTAGCGGACTTAGGTAAACACTTGCAAGGATGCATTTTAAATATTAAAAGATAGGCGTAAAGTTTATAAAGGAAACTTAAATCTTGCGCGAAGTATCTCGAAAGTGGCGTTATCAGCAGCCAGAAGCGCAACGTGAATTCTGCTTCCGTGAACGGGAAAGTAAACGAAACACTCAGTATTGTAATAAAAGGACCACCCGCCAAATCGCCGAATTAGTTCAGAATTGTTTGTCTTGGAGACCAGTTCTTGCTTGAAAGCGGCACTTACGCCTCTTTCATGTTAATACAGCAATTCGAAAATGAAAACGTGCTTCGAAAAGTAAAATAAAAGGACACATGGGATCTGAACTACAGCAAGCCACGTGTTTGGTGAAAACGCGCGAGGAATATTAGCGATTCCGGATATTGAAATTTGTAAGTTCCCCAAGAAATCGATCTCTCGCAGAGTGGCCTTTTTGTGTGCTAAGTCCTGCCTCCTTTTGGAATTTTTTAGCCTACATTGCCTGAAATTACTCTGCTACAACTACAAAATACTAAAACACTGCAACTCCGAGACATAAGGAAGTATTAATGCGAAACCTGGGTCTGTTTCATATGGTAGAGCGATTCGCTTTTTCAAAGCATCGAGCAAAGAGCAGCAATATAATATTATTATTCCTTATTGATAACAGAGAGGCTAAATTTTTAATAATGACTTAGTTGGGAAGCTTTGCTTGTTAAGTCGCATTTCTTGATTATTTCGCTCTTTGTGTTTCAGCTCATCGAGTGAAAATGCGTAGAGACTAGCCCCAGAGGCCGGTGGTCGGGAAGAATTCTTAGATAATTATTTTGAACCGCAGAGGAAATCAGCAGTGACTAGCGAGAAGCGATCGAAGATACCGACTTCGTAACGAGTCGGTCATTAGAAAGACGTATAACAGTTTTAAAATGGGAAAAAAAGTATGCATGTCATTATGTTTTCTTTAAATAGCCATCGAAAACCGCAACCTGCAGAACGTGAAACAACTAGACGGAAAAATCTTACGAAAGTGACATCAAAATGCTTACCGGGTCAGCTGGTGAATCGAAAGCGACATATCTGGTTTCCTAAATCTAGTTTATGTTATCACGTAGCAATTGAGATAATCCAGTAGATTTTGTCGTAAAACTATAATGCTGTTATCTGCCAACATCACAAAATTGTCTTTTTTGAATTTTCGCGGACAACAGGAAGTACTCCAAAATCTGTTCGCAGCGCGCGCGCTGTAAGTTGCGCTCGTGCAACGCACGGAAACGCGCGCGTTGTATGTTCTGAAATCATATCGTTTTCTAGGAAAATCCTAAGCTTCGCCGAAAAGGAGTAGACCTCACTGGCTTTAGTTAAATCACTTAAAAGACGCTCTATTTTTCTCTCAACTCACGACAACAGAGAACATAAAACAAACCTTTGCGCATCGCTCAAAACAAGTTTGAAAAAGTTCAGTTGCAGTACTTACAGTTTTCGGATGAGACTTGGTTTCTCTTTGTAAAACTTGACCAGCCGTTTAGCGGTTTGCTTCTCTGACTTGGAGAAAGGGAATGTAACCACTGGAGCGAAGAAAAAGAACACTCCAGTTGACAAATTGATTGTAAGAGATATTACCACGCCGCAGACTATCGATGTAGACATTATAAGTTCCAACAAGCATGGCCCGCCGAGTTGTTGTAGTCCGTTATATGTAGTTCACTCTTTGGACCTCCAACCGTTCGCCATAGTCATTTACTTGTACGGAAGACGATGAAGTCACACAGGAACTGGGAACTGCTAAAGTTCTATAATCATTTTTTTTCCCAGACTAAACATAAAATTTTCTCCTTGAGGTCGAGGCACTGTCTAGCACGACCGCCGAAAGTGAAAATGCGGCTATCAGTTTTCTTTTCGGTGAAATTGTTTTCGTTCCTTTTTCAAGGAAAAATATTCCCCTCGTTTGCTATCACTGTTTACTGCTCGGGTCGGTTTTCTTAAGCATTCAAGCGTTGCCGGCGTTGGTATAAATATACGGTATGTCATTATTCGTTTCAGTTCAACTTCCTGTAGTTAAGTCATAGCATAAATCATGTAAATTACGGTTATAGTTCATATAATCAAGCGTTTTAAGTGTAGTTTCAGAAGCGCTGTCATCGATTGGCTTAAACGAGATCATCTTGACCCAAGTTCGTCATACACCGGAAGTAAATTGCTACTCGTTGTTTTCATATCCGTGTCGGACCGCAGAGTAGTTTAACAACGGAAAATGTGAAGCAACATAGATAGCTCGGAAAATCATTTGTGGCACACTTTGCGCTGTGTAAATCACCTTGAATATTTATTAGCCCGTAAGAATCAAGAAGAAGTTTCTGAAAATCTATCCAAGGAAAACATACAGCTTGTGAAATTCGAAAGCAGAGCGACATCCGGTGCACTAAAAAACCATGATGCCAGGTAAATTTTCACCGGTGAAAACAGCAGTAATTCGCTTGTGTGCTCGACGGGTTTCAGATGTTAGCCTCAACGGAAGTTCAGCGCTGATGAATACAAGGGAAGTTGAATAGGATTGGCCGAGCGTAATAAACGAACTGAAACCCAACAAAGCTCTCCCGCCGATTCCTCTTCACCTCTCTTCTTTTGGTTTTTATTTTTGAAAAAAAGTCAGTTTTCGCGTTCTAGCGGAACGATTTTGAAGGTCAAAGCCGAAGAAACTGTGAGTGAGGGCAAAATAAAACTAAACGGCAACATTTTTCTTTTCGCTTTTATTCCTCTGCTTTACACTTGCGTTGTTGTAGAAGATGTCTGTTTGTACGTGTGGCATTAATATTTAATTCAAATTCGTCACCGGAAAGTTTTGTCGGCCAAGGTAACTGACGTAGCCTCTGAAAAATGACTCTATTTCTGCTCTTCAGTGGAAAAAAACGCACTGTTTTCAGTCCTACTTTGAGCTTATCTGATTCGATCATCTACAGTTTAAGCGTAGTATATTTTGTTCGAAAAACACAATAAAACAAACGACTCGTAATATGCACCATATAAGATAAAGTCTATATTTTCCTCTTAATTACTGCATGGCACTTCTCTCAATATTCCAACTTTTTGTAAAACCACAATGATTGCATGTATTATGTACATAGTCACTCACAGAACGAACCTGTATAAATAATTGAGTGATAGTGTGATGGGAGTTTAGGTCTTCCTGTTTTATACAGTGTAATAAATGACAATATAGCAAAAGCACTTTCTTATTGGTTTAAACCGCAACTTCCAAGCTCGACAACGAAAAATAACTTGTATTTGGATTATAAATAAACCCACATGAATGATGATAGGGACAGGTAGTCTTCAGTTACAGTTGGATTATAAATAACGAAACTACCACCAATTCGAAAACAAGTGTCGATTTTCTTCACTACTTCCCTTTTCTCTTTTACCTCTTATACTTCTTCCTTGCGGACAACGCTACAAATAAAAAAGAAAACAGGAACAACCAAATGTTCTAAATTTATATTTGACTGAAGTGTGTCTCACATAATGAGAAACAAACGTTGCACGATACTAAACTCGTGCTGTACTTGTTCCTTGATCTCTTTCGGGAAAGTCTTACTTTTCCCATAAACTCTAGGGTGTTTGCAATCTACGGTGTACTGTTTCAAGTCGTAACGATTAAGTTAATATCTACGCAAGGCCACTCACTCTTTTGCATAGTTGAGATATATCTCGTAAAAATCTACAGGAAAATTAAAACTTCACAAAAAACATGTTTGAGACATCCTGTTTATATAAGTTTAGGGTAAGCGAGCAAGCCTGGACAGTCAATAGGGTCACTTTCCTCGGCTCTCGCGGAGACGGAGACGAAAGACGGGGGGCAGGTGACATCTGATTTTATCGGACATCCGAAGGAATGGACTAATATGACGTCCTTATGGTCACTGTCACAATATAACCCCCTCACTTACTTGTAAATTAAGCTTGAGTCCGATCTGAATGGCTCCAGCGCAAAACCAGAAATCGACGGGAAATAAAAAACCCGGTACCCCCCATCCATATATCCCAGGAGTACAAAGAAAATGCCCAAGGATATTGAGGCTGGATGATAGAGGTTTAGATGTAAATGCAGGGGTCCACATTTCTGACGGAGTTAGGAATGTTACGCTTTGCGTAATGATCCATGCGCCCTTCCCCCGCCCTCTCCAGACACGACCCACACAGTAACTGCGAACAAAATTAATCACAACTACTGAAAAATGCCATTTATATTTAAGCCCCCGCTTATTAGTCCACCCAAGTGACAGACAGATTCGTCTTCTAACGAAAACGTATTCCAGCTAGGAGCCCCCCTCTCCCGTCCAAAGTTGGCATATATATATGTTAATGGGAGCGCATTGAGTTTTCTAAACGCGCCAAAAAACTTCGTTATTATTACTATATCAACTTACTAACGTTCTCACGTGGACTTGCCACAAGTCGACCTCATGAGTTTCAGGGTAGAATAGCTCGGGTCATGAATGAACAAGACGAACGACTTTTCTGAAAGTCTAGTTTTCACAGAGCATTGAATAAATTTTGCAAAGCCGAGAGCAGATCAATTCAGAGTGGCTTCCTGTCTTTCTTTCTTTCATCTTGAAACGGCCGCTTATAGCTGGTTTTCACATGACGTCACTAAAATTCGAACTACAAAA